GAGGCCAAAGACGCACATCGGAACGAAAGTGCCAGATGCGTGCCAGGCTGCAGTCCACGGAGAAACTTGGCAGGCAAGGGCTGGGACTCATCACTCCAGCGGGAGAGCAAATCCGCATCGTCATTCTTTTCGCCGGGTACGTGGAAGACGTCAAGCTCAATGCCAGTCATGCACGCCAACATGGACAGGCGTTTCAGAAACACCGACAAAGGAAAAGCCGAGCTGTAGAGCTTATTGATGCCTGCCTCTGCGCCTGTGTTGTCGGACAAAGTGCGGAGACGGACTGTCCAGCGTGCCAAGGGCACCACGGAATGGAGACAAAGAATGAGGCCAAGCTGTGCCAATGTCTCGTAACATGTGATGTCCTGGTGAGCTGGCACCTGCAAAGGCACACCCAGTGAAGAAAGGTCTGGGACACGCCATGACTGGCTGAACCACGAAATTTGGCGTGAAGGCCATTCGATAAACCCCCCTATCCCGACAAGGTCCCCATCCGCGCGGGCGTCGGCAGCGGCGCAGACAATGGGAACGTCCGCAGGTTTCTGCAAAGGAAAGAAAAGGGGTGGAACCTCGCACCACTTAAGCCAGAACTGAAGGCTCTCACGGCTGGAAACTGAAAGCTTGCGGCGAGTGGTGGAGGGGTCCGTCACTCTCATCCAAATGCGCTTGGAGGTGGGAATTTTGGCAAGGTCTTTCTTAGACTGCAGGGCCAAGTGCCTGGCTTCAATGAGCTTGGCGCCTGTCGGAATGCTCGTTCCCGGCGGCGTGGAAGTGAAGACAAGACCCTCGTTAACGCAAATGGCCAAGCCGGGCCAATCGCCAGGGTCAATGCTGTAGTTGGTGGCCAATGGACGGTTCGCATCAGCGTACAGGGTTTGCAACCAGGGCTTAAAATGCTTGTACAGCTTGCAAAACCACTGCAGCAACCCGGTGACCTTGTCCAGGGTCCGTTTCGAAACATGGCGACCCTGTAAGGCTTCCTGCAGCAGGCGCTTTAGCTTCTGGACTTTCTCAACCGGAATAGAGAAAGTGCCAGAGCCGAAGGAAAAATGCCAGCCTATCCAGTGGATACAGCTGCCAAGCTGTAACTTGGCATTGGACAGGGGTATGTTGAACAAAGCACAAAAAGCCAATGTCATGCACGCTGTAAGGCCAATGACCTCCTGGTCCTGAAACAGGATAAAATCGTCCACGTAGCCCAGCAGGGCGTGTCGGAGCCAGGTCCAAAGGTGTAGAGTGCGAAGGAAAAAGCTTCCCAGTCGCTGGAACCAGAGGGCCGAGAAATTCGCTCCAAAGGGACAAACGCGGTAAAAAAGCCAACGACGGCCAGGACCTCGAATTTTCGGGAGGGAGACCCCGAGCAGCCCCTGATCCGAATCGCGAACTCGAACCGTTTTGTGAGCGGACTTGATGTCAAAAGCAAACCCCGCGCAAAGGCCAGAGTGACACCGCAAAGGGAAAGAATCCCTAACATCGTCAATGCCCGGGAGTGTGTATGTTTCGGGGATCGAGCAAGACGGATTAGTGCCACAGACAGTGGAATCAACCACAAGACGGGGCTTTTTGCCTTCAGCTTTGACGATAGACATCTTTCCAATGGCCAGCTTGTCGCCAAAACGCTCTTGAGCCGCTTCCAAAGAATCTAGCTCCAAGAACCAGCCATTGGAGATCTCCTCTTCCACTAAGGCATGCAGGGTTGGAAGATCCGCTTCAGCGCTGGACCAATTACCATGACAAATGCCAAGTGATTGCTCGAAAGGATGGCCCCCTCCTTGTGGCAGGAAAACATTGGATAACGGAATGTCCCCGTCAAAGCCAGTAGGCACTCCCTGTTCCAGACAGGTGAACAAGGATAAGTCTCGATCTTGGCAGATGCGTGAGACAGCTGCCAGCGCCTGGAGGCAGTATGGTTGCCCTGCGGAGATTTCCCAGGAGACGGAAATGCCAGGGAAATGCGCGGAGAGCCAGTCCTGGAAGATGCAACGTAGAGCGTCTATCTCTGAGCTGGAGAAAAGGGGTTCCGCGGATCCCCCCAAAACCAAAGTGCGCAAACGCTGAGGGAAACGACCCTGAAGAAGAAAGGCCATTAGCTTAGGCCTAAGATGCGCAAACACGTCTGTGGCTCCCGAGGGTGGAGCGCTCCAGTCTGGCGTGGAGAGGATGCCGGCCCCATCCTGCGAGGCCACGGGAGCCTCTTGAAGGGCCTTGGGCTTGGAAAGCAAAGGTACCGAGGCGAAAGAAAGGGCAGTACCTCCCCCTTGTTCCACGTGGAAGAGGGGCAGAGCTTGCTCCGCATACATGTCTGCTAAAAGGGGGGGGTACTCCGCAGAAGCCCGACTGCAAAAGTTGCCGGACTCATCACGCAAACCCTGCAAAGCCACGTGGGTCCCCTCGATGTGTGGACATGTAGAGGCCAAAGCCTGAAAGGCCCTAAATGACGTGGCGAAAAGCCAGGCTTTGTGCATGTCGAGATTGACGGAGCAAGCGGCCACGTGGACCAGATCCGCACTGATGGCTGCCAAGAAATTGGTCGCAATCGGCTCCATCCAGGCCATGCTGTTGGGGGGCTGTTCGAGCGACACTTGCGCGCCGCAAGAGAAGCTGACATGCAGCAGCTGAACGCAACGCACAAAGATAAGGTGGCTCTCCTGGACCCTAAGAGCCTGCGATGCCGACAAATCGGGAAGGCCATTCAGGAATGCAGGAGTCCGAAGTGCCTTTGGGCCTCCAGGAAGGAGTTTCAGGCGAGAGTACTCCCTGCACGGGGGGGCAGCGTGTGCAAGGGCCACCTGCCGGGACGTGCAAATGCGCAGCAAATGCTCAAAGAAGTCGTCCTGGAGAAGATCCATGTTTGTGTCAATGAGAATGTCGATAGACAAACAAGGTACTCCCTTCTCCAAGAATGCTGAGCTGAGCGGCGAACCCGCTCCCGCGCAAATGTCCAGGAAGAAGGGTTGCTTGAAATCCCGAACTGACTGTAGGGCGGAGGTGACCCGCGAGGAGGCCGGGGGAAACAGCCCTGGCATGGACTCTGCGGAGACCGGTGCAGAAGATAGCGTTGGGTTGAGGCTGTTTGGGGCTAAAACATCCACATCGGGATCTGTGTGCAGTGGTAAGTGGCTTCTTGGGGATGGCGAGTCGGAAACAGACAAAGCCAAAGCCCCCGCGTGAGGAAAAATGGGCAACAGAGGCTCGGGTGCCTGCTTTGCCGGAGTCGGAGTCGGAGAGCTCTGGGAGGACAAAGGCAAAATGGCAGGCACGAACAAAGGCAGACCGGACCCAGCTGCCTGCTCGAAAGATGGGTCCGGTCCCCCTCAATGCGGGGTGTCAGTATGTTGCCAAGCCGGATGGTTGCCAAGACAAATCTTCCCACTGGGAAGCTTCACGGGACAAAGGTGTTCAAAGCGGCATGACGGATTTTTGCATCCTGTGCGCTGACTCCAGCGCATACAAAGGGTCTTAACTTCTCCGTTAATTTTTGCGGAGGATGCCCACTCCTGGCGATTTGTGGAGGTCCCCGCGGAGTTGCCTTGGTTGCCCAGACCGGATCCCCCACGACCGGCGCCAAGGCCACTCCCACGACCTCTTCCATCCCCCTTGCCTTTGCCGCGTCCTCGTCCGTTACCAAAGCCAGCACCGGAGCTATTGCCCTTTCCTCCACCTGCTCCTTTGCCCTCCGGGCGGCGCATGGCCTTGGGCAGGAAAACGCGCGGTGCCAAAAGAGAGGCCAGCTCGCTGCGGACGGCTGTGTTCTCATGGATGCAGTCGTCCAAAGACCAACCTTGCAAACGGAGTTCGGACACGGCCTCCCAGAATCGACGATCTGCCTGCTCACATTCCAATGCGTTGGGTGGGCGAAGGCCACTGCTATTGTCAAAGCGAGCCGAAGCAAAACGGAGGAAAGTGGACTCGTACTTCTTAAGCGTGACCAAATGCACATCAGTGACCATGGCCATCGCCACACTGTGCAGGTGCAAAATCTTGCTCAATGCAAACATGCCCAGTGTGTCCGGGAGGTTCCGAGAAGGGACATCATCCAAAATGAGGTCTGCCAACTCAGTCCTGGCCAGCTTGCGGGGGCGCTGCAACTGCTGCTCTTCAAGCTCAAGCACTGACATGCGCCAACGCCAAGGGATGAAGCGCCACTCTTGGGACGAGGCTTGTTTAAAAGCCAAAGCAAGGAGACGAGCCGAAGGCATAGTGGAATCGTCCAAAACCTCGCTAGGATATTTCCGCAGGAAAGCGGCTCGAAGCTCGGCCGTTTTGTCTGAGGAGAGCTTAGCTGGGAAGGGCTCGTTCCATGATGCGGCAGCAGACATGGTGCGGCTAGGGTCTGAAGCCGCGCTGAAGGACTGGTCCTGCGGCAAGGGCAAAGCAGAGGGTTGCGGCGGAAAGGGCACAGCTGCCGTGTGTCCCTCAGAGCAAGCCAAGGCATGTGACCTGTGCCAAAGACACCGAAGGTCCGCATGTGTCCCGGAGCCAAAGTCCAGGAGACCGTGTGACTCCAACCACTGATCCAACTGATCAAAGGAGGTAGCCAAGAACCCAAAATTGCGAATGGTGCGGTTCAACTCCGAATGCGACGCAACCTCTTCCGGGAAATCAAGGTTCAAAGATTCCCAAAGAACTGAGAGCTTGTCTGAGGGAGTCGGCTGCACGAGAAGGCCTCGCCCATTGTCGCTCCCTGGGTCGGCCATAGAACCTGTGTCGGCCAAAGTGAAAAAGGAAGAGCGGAAGAAGACAGATAAAAGCGCTTGACGCACAGAAGGAGATGCAAAGCCAGTGCAAAGCCAATAAGCTGGGCCAGGAAAGGACGAAACACTCTGAGAGGTGCGCCTGGAAGAATGTGTGGAGCGTCCACAGCTAGACCTGGGCGCGAGAGCATGTATGAGGGAAAGTACACAAAAGCAACAAGAATTGAAAGAAGCTCCGAAGCCGCACACAAGCTCTGATTTCCATCGGCACGCTCCGATGCCAGACGCCCTCGAGCAGCCTAAAGCTTACCGAGGGAACCTGGGTACCAAAGGAAGAGCTGCTGCTGTCAGGGGGTCCGCACTATGCTCAGAGAAACCTCCCCGAAAGCGACGGGGGACATCCAGTCCAGAAGTCGCAAGACCTCCCCTAACCAGAAGCTGCGGCTCTGCCATCGGTGACTGGGCTCCGCGGTGTTGGGAAATGCTGGGACGAAAAGCGCCAGTGCGAATCTTGCCAAGGATCGAGGCCTGAAGAGCTAGGGCCGCGTGCGTGTCATCTCGACCGTAAAGAGTGACTGAGGTGGTGCGGTGATGTCCCTGCTCACGGCGTGCCATGTCGCCAAGGCCAAGCTGCGAACACCAGGACAAGACTGTCGCCTTGCAAGAATGTAAAGTGAAATTGCGAGACGCATCGTACCCTAAGCGACCCCACATGTTCAAGGCTGAGCGCAGACAACGCAGTGCCGATGCATATGACGCGGGGCAAAATGCAAAGTCGCAAGTGTCATCCAGAAGCGAGGAGCAGAAAAAGAGGGAGTCAGGGACCACATTGGGGGAGAGTTGTTCCAAAGAACCCCACAAGGCAGCCAGAAGCTGGAGCCAGCGAATACCCCAAGGGCCGTATATGCCCTCTGCGTAGAAAGCAAAAGCCATGCCACGCCGAGATGTTTTTGTACGATAGGCAAGGCCGCGAATGACTAATGCTTGAGGGTCAAACAGAAGAGCTGACCAGGATACGTGGGAAGCGTCCCCAAAGCGCAGCGAAGACCATATACATACCAATGCGGAGCCGGCAAACAGAGCAAGTTCAGGAGCGGAAAGAGGATCAAGCACAACTGATTCAAGAAAAGCGACAAAGTCCAAAGGAAGTGGCATGGCTTCAGAACGATCTGAAGATGGCTGAGCAGACAAAGCTCTGAACAGGCCTGAGTAGAGGTCTGGGAAGTGAAGGGTCACGGTTTTCACCAACCAACGCAGCGCCTTCAGGGTGTTGAGCGGAAAAACCAAAGCAATCTGTTCCCGGTCCAGAGAAAAGTCATCGTCCTGGGAACGGCTGCAGTGTAAAGCGTAGACTGCCTCAACTGCGGCAAGTTGGGAAAGATTGTCCAAGGAGTGTCCGAGGTCGACAAGAAATTCGAAATAGGCCAAGCAAGCTTTGACATAGCGTAAAGCGGTTGTGTCTGCGTTGAGTTGCAAAAGCTTCAATGTCAAAGCAGGTCCATTAGGTGACCCCTGAAGCTGCTGCAGCACCGAACTGTAAGGGCCAATGATGTCTACCAAAGAACGCCAGAGCAACAAGATGGCATCCCAGGCCTCAGAATGCAGGGTGCTCTGAAGAACAACCCCCCTCAAATTGGAGGCATTCGCAGCGGCCTCAGGGCAGAGTGCGGGGGTGTGATCACTAGACTTCAATGCTGCAGATCCCTTTGGGGAAGGGCGAACAAAAGAAGAACGATGGGGAGGTTCAGCTTCTGAGGCAGACTTTACCCCTTCCTTATTTTCCAAACAAAAATGTTTCACATGTATGAAAACATCGCCTGGCTGAAAGTACGCGATCCATCGATGTTATGCTCATTCATTGGTGTTCCATGCACGGCAATGCTATTCACATGCACCGACTGCAATGACATGCACCCTCACGCTAACACGACTGAAGCTTATGCACTGGCATCTTTTCCAAGGAAGGGGATTTGCTGTGTCTGCTTCCATCCGAGATCTGTCCTCTGCAGGTGTGTGAGAAACGAAAGCTCCCCCGTGAAACGCTACACAAAGTGCTAAAAGCAGAGTTCTCTGCTGCACTCAGCGGTTCCGCCTAAGTGAGCGGCCTGTCAATGGTTCAGTTGAACAACGAAGTGCACACATGTTCCGAGGTGCACCGGTAGATCGCTGAGGTTCGTGCTGTAAGGCACATGACGACCCTGCATTTCCAAGCGGAAACTGGAAGTACGTAAGTCATGCCCCGAGCGATGCCACACATCGTCAGCAACCGCAAACTTGACGTCGTCAACTGTTCCTGTGGTCGCCACTCTACAAAGCACAACATCCACAACCGGCACATTGGTTACCATCACTGCCAGCCATTGGATCCTTGATTCTCTGTTCGTCTCTTCATCAAGACCCGATGTTCCGGCATCACGTTTCATCTCAACTGCCCAATGTAAGGCACAATTGGAGTGGGTGGGCGGGCAGAAAAATTTTCCCGGACCCTCTCCACGAGGGTTGTGGCTGAGAGGGCTGTGGCCTCTCTTCGTCTGAGCCGAAAAACTTTCTCATTCGTAGAATTCGAAAATTTTTCTCCGGAAAATAAAGGTTTGTACTTACAGCACGATTACCTTATTTTCCAAACAAAAATGTTTCACATGTATGAAAACATCGCCTGGCTGAAAGTACGCGATCCATCGATGTTATGCTCATTCATTGGTGTTCCATGCACGGCAATGCTATTCACATGCACCGACTGCAATGACATGCACCCTCACGCTAACACGACTGAAGCTTATGCACTGGCATCTTTTCCAAGGAAGGGGATTTGCTGTGTCTGCTTCCATCCGAGATCTGTCCTCTGCAGGTGTGTGAGAAACGAAAGCTCCCTCTCTTGGTCGGGGAGAATGCAAGTCCCTTCCTTGGTCATGGGGTTTCAGGCCCCGCGCCCGACGAGCGAGTTCACCAGCTTGGCCATTTCCGCAAGAAGCACCTGGTCTTGGAACCTGCAATTGTGTGGCAGCCCTGTAAAGTCAAGGCGAGACGGGGCGTCCGCCACGTTGGATTTGCTGGGTACCCGAGCGTAGAACGGGATCATCTCAAGCTCCTGTTCTAACAATGCACAAGCATTGCTCAAGAGGGTCAAAGCCTCTGAATCGCTGGTCAGCTTGAGGAGCGTTATGCGCGCCGCCTCATTGTCTAAGTAGCACATCACGTGTTTCCCCCGCAGAAACTCTCGGGCTAGAATGAATAGCAGGAGAACAGCTATGCTCTCGAGCTCGTTGATGACTTTAGACTTTCCTTGCAGAAGTTTCTCAGCAAGGTCATGCGGTAACACAATGCCAAACCAGCACAGGATGTGCCCCTCCTGATTGAACAGGATTGCTCCCAGGCCCATTTCGAGGCCTTGGAGTCCTTCTTGCGAGGCGTCCGTAAAAGCGTACACCGTCTCTGAGGTCTGGGCTCGCACTATCCTCGGCGACGCCTCGGCTATGTAGTGTCGTAGCCCCTGCAGTGCTGCGCAAAGGGAGGCTTGGTTTTGTCTCCTGACATATGCGGGGGCATTGATGATGTCAGAGATTCTTCTCATGAAGCCCTTCGGCAAGCGCCCAGAGAGTTGGCCCGCCACGAAGTGCAGCCTTCCCCTCAGTCGATTCCAAGTCTTAGGGCTTGAAGCTCCTTGCTCCTGAAAGGCTGCCAGGTCTTCAATGAGACTTTTGGTCCGCTCTGCTGTATTCTGGATCCTAATTATCTGTTGCTGCTGTCTGTAAGGTCAAATTCGACCCCCAAAGATCTGAAGACCTCCTGGAACGGCTGGGCCTTGTCTCCGTCTCTGTCAAACTCAAAGCCGAGCAAGTCTAGCAGAAAACATGCACTGGCCTCTGCGCTAGTGGCCAGCTGTCGTGTTGACAACAGTGTGAAGTCATCGTAAAAAGAGCTCCAAGGCAAGTGCCAAAACGTGTTTCCTATATGACAAATAGCCAGGCTGACCCTGATGAATGCATGGACCGCCGCCACAGCGCCGAATGGAAGGCAGAGAAGCCTAAAGAAGCGAACCTCCCCCGAATTGGGGTCCTTGACAGCCACGTAGGCCATGTTGAGTGCCTCTTCGGACAGTGGTAGTTGCCTATATGCTGATTTCAGGTCAATGGTTTTACCAAGCAGTCCTTGTCCTGCGTGCCTCAGGAACAATATGGCCGACGCTGCAATTGTCTCGATGTCATGCAACTCGATCTTCCCCATGCTCCCGAATGCCTCGTTGATGTGGCTCTGGGACAGGTCGTCAATCGGCCTGACCTTGTTTCCTTGTTGGATCGCAAAACGTTTGCTGACTACAGCTCCTTGTGGCAAGTCCTGCTCTCGGAAAGGTCCTTCCGACCAGCCTTTTGATACTTCATCGAGACTTTTCTGCCACAGTTCTTCCAAGAACTGAGATGAGTCCTCAACTTCCTTGATGACCTGGTGGTTCGTCTCCTGCGTCAGTTGGGACAGGTCCTTCAGGGAGAGGAATGCTGGACGAAAGTCGGTGGACCAGCCTGCCGGAAGGTCTAAATGCCCCACAAGGTCAAAACCCTGTGCCAGGTCGTCCGCCACTGCCTTGTCGGCGTAGTGGGACGCTTCCAGCATCTCTTTGAAGAGCAGTATTCTCTTATTACGGAGGCTGCTGCGGATGTGCTCGGGCAGCTTAGCTTTGAAGTCGTCTTCAGCTAACTGCAGCTCCTGGGCTCGCTGGAGCCATCTCCGTGACTGCGCAGCTCGAGTCTCAATCACCTTGGTTGCAGGCTGTTTAGAACACGCCAAAATTGCCTTCCGCAGGGCGGGTGGCACCCCGAGACACAGGTGTCGGGGGTGGCCGGCCAGTCGGGCTTTCGCCACAAATTCCTGTGGGTTCCACGGGACCTCCACCAGTACATCCGTCGCAGAAGACAGTAGGGGCGTCACTCTCAGCGCCGGGGCTCCTGGCGCCTTGAAGCCCGGGATCCTGTCCGGTGCCAACCACTGTGTAGTCTGGAGAGTACTACGGAGTTGGCCGGGTACTGTCCATCTGATTCGTCTGCGAAATTCGGGGATAACCTGAAACGATGCAGCCTTTTTGGTCTTCGCCTGTGTCGTTACCACCCTGGCTCCTGAGGAGTTTGCGGGATCGGCCTCCAAGAGATTCAGACCATCCCGACAACCCTTCTGTGTCAGATGCTGCAGCAGCAGGGAAACAAAGTGCTTACAAAACTGGTGTGGATACGCAGTCTCAAGCTTTGTTGCGAGAACTCCCTCTTGCACTTTCCAGGGCAGGTGCTCGTGGGATCCATCACACGTGACAGCCAGGCCTGTGATGAGGTCGCTGTTGCACAGCAGGGCCGTCCGCTTTAATCTCGAACCTCCCATCATGCAAAAGTCGCACTGGACCACGATCGCCTGTTCACTCCTGAGGATGTGTTCAATGGCGCTGCAATGCCAGAAGAAACTGCGATAGGGGTTCTTTATGATTACCACAATGTCATTTTCGCAGCAGAAGCCCCAGATTCGGGCCGTGAGCCGGTAAAGCTCGTTAGCCTTTGCCACCCTTTCTGCATCGCTTGGGCCAAGGCCTGGGAGCCCTTCCGGGCACTCCACTGACCGCAAAGGACGCGGCTCGTCCTCCCCCGGAAACGGGATTTCCCTGGCCCTGCTGGATGTGCCGCAGGGCGGCGCCAGCCATACGGCGACCAGTCCTGGAGAACCCAGCCATTTCCACAGAAGACCTTGGTGCGACAACAGGAGCAAGTCCAGCTGTATGATCTTGCCCTTGCGCCTCGGCATGCGGACATTGTCTACTCCGACTGACCGCTTGAGGCCGGCTGAAGCAGCTGCCGAGGTAATCCCGGCCGACCCCGCGAAAATTTCCAAAACCCAACACTCCTGTATGGTCTGGGGCGCAGTACATTGCGCTTGCCCAGACCTCTGCGCGCCGTGATGACTCGCCTGAGGTGAAAATGCAGAAGCCTCGGCTGGAGGCTTGGAAAATTGTGGGATTGGCTCAGCCACCCGCTTGAGCGGGGGCTGCTTCTCTTGCCCTTTCGCAAAAGCAGCAGGGTACGAGTCCTTGCAGCTCTCTTCGGGCCTGTCCGCCTCAGAAGCGGGAAAATTGTTCTGTTCACAAAATTGGGCCGAACTGTCTCCACCCTCCCCCATGGCTGTTTCTTCTCTTACCGCGCACGCTTGTGCGCGACGCGTCAGAGCAGCTCGAGACGCCTGGTCCGGCGCAGAAGCGCTGTCATTCGACGTCCCTTGCAGCGGGGCGTTCTTTCAGGCTACCTGGCCTGAATGCCTGTGCTCAGAAAAGGGATGCTTCCGGAAGCAACCTGGGTGACAACACACATGTCTGCCACGTGCACATCTGCCCCCCAAGGGGGCGTCCTTGCACTGTCCTAGGTTGAAGCCAAAACAAAGAGGCTCTCCTTGCTCGTCGTTCGGCACTCCGCCTCGCAAGGCGGCCGGCATGGGGGTCTCCCCCTTGCCTCCTTGCAAGACAAGGGACTTGTTCGGAAAGCCTCCCTTGCCACTGTCAAATTTTCCCTTTGTGGGGAGGCGGGCCCCCTTGAGGCCTGATTTGCCTCCCTGGCCCTTGTCTCCTTTGTCGGTCCTCTGATATTTCCATTGTCCGTACCCTTTTCCGTCGCCCCAGCGCTTGGGGCCCTTGCCAGCGCCTTTGCCTCCTCTATCTGGGAACCCTTCCGCACGAGGTGTCGGCATGAAGTGGAAATTGACTGCAACCGTGTTGGTGGCTTCCAGAAAGACTTGATCTAAGCACCGGGCGTCCGCGAGCGGCGCGTTCGCCGCTGCCCTTGTCAGGGTCGGCTGTTTGCTGCCAAGCTCCATCCACAAGGCCCGATCTGCTCGCAGGACCTGCTGCAGCGTCGGACGGTTGAAGCCTGGGGGCGGTGGGGTCTGCAAGGTAGCAAAGGCCTTCTGAAGCCATTTCTCGTGCACCTTGCAACTCAAAATGCCAACGAGGTCGTAGGCCAGACCCCGTCTTTGCAGCGCCCTGTAAGTCGCCATGTCTGACCCCGACTGGGCCTCTACTTTAGAGGATTTGTCTTGAACCGAGAGGCCATCCCCCGAAGCGTCCAGCACAAGTTCCTTGGTTGGCTTGCCTTGCGCCAATTCCTGGCGACGCGTGGGGATCTTGCTCGGATGCAGGTATTTCAGCGACCCTTGCTCTACTTGTGTCGACACAGCATCATATACTGAAAAGGCGGGCTCTAAGTCATGCTCAATCGAGAGTCCGCCCAGCCTTTGAGCCTGCAATTCCAGGCGCTGGGCTCTCTCAGCTCCTGGCAGCTTACGTAGGACTGAGTCCGGCTGCTGTTCCACGGTTGCCTTCAAGTTTGCCAAGCTCATGGTCTGGCACTCAAACAGGAGCCTCTTGACGACTGTCATCTGTGCAAGAGTGGGGTTGTTCTGCCCCAGACTCGTACATAGAGTGGAGACCTCCCTATCTGTGAGAGGTTGACCCGGTTGAGTGGCGGCATAGGCCGCCATGGACACCGTCTTGACCCCTCCAGCTATGAATTTGTCCAAGAGTGGCTGCTCCATTCCGATCTTGCGAGCATGTTGCTCGAAGAAAGGCTGACTATCCGCTGCGTTTGCCATGTTTAGGGAGTGGGGCCAAAACTGCAACTTGCAAGAGAGAGAGCTGGTACAAAAGGGCTGGTGTTGCACAAGCACACAAACCGGCCAACAACAGTGTCACCCCTCTCTTTACTCCTGAAAACAACGGCTGCACTGTAGCCACTTCGCTGAGGGCTTCTCCATTTCTACAAAATTGACGCTTATCCACTTGCCACATTTCAGCGTCGTCTGACCTACTTTGTACAGATGTAACATGGTAGACTTCTTGTTCTGGATCGCGCTCCAACCCTCCGGTAGGCTCAGGGTCGAAGCTGGTTCCTCCTTTTCTTCCGACGAGGCTCCATCAGAGGTTTCCTCGGAGGACCCGTCTGCTGATGTGGTGGGCGAGATCTCTGCCTCCTCGTTATCATCTGCACCTTGTGTGTCGACCTTATCGAACAGCGCCTCGCAAAGCCCAGAAGTCACGGTAGCCAACCTGTCTAATTCCTCACTTTCTTTCGAGGGGGATTCGTCTCCTTCCGCTACCGACGGCGCAGATGCTTCCAAGACAGGCATGGCACTTGGTGACTCAAAAACCTTCCCTTGCGAGGAGCAAAGCGGTCCAACCCCCAGGAAATCGTCCTCAAAGCCTTCCACTGTAGCTGGCAAAGGCTCATGCGTGCTTTCGGAGTTCGCGGGCAGCCCATCTAAGCTGCCTGCCTTGCTGATCGGCAGCCAGGACCCGAGGTCAACAGACGCACCTGCCTCTGATCCTTGGGCACGGGCAAAGTATCCACTCCGAGTAGCGTCCGGGCAAAACGAGCCCTCCCGTACCTGCTTTAGCATTTCCTCCAGCTGCCGGAGGGGGCCACTAAGGGCGTCCCTTGAGTAAGCTAATGTACTCAACGCTCCAGTAAAATGATGTGCCAAGAGTGTCTGTGTTTCGCCCACAATGCCGTATTTGCTCAACCAGCCCAGAGCAGTGTGTTTCAAGGAATGTGTGGTAACCCTCGCTGTTGAGGGGTCGCGGTTCCTTAGCAGTCCCGTCAGCCAGTTGGAGGCCTCGGCGGAGTCGATGGACCTCTGCAGCCAGGCACCGTCTGGGGCGGTGGCAGGTAGTAAAGGGCCTACAGGGGTCTTCGAGAGCACGATCCCTGCTTCGGCGGCCACTTTCTGCCATTCTTTGGCCCAAACCACCGTCGGGTGGACCCCCCGAACTGGAGCCACCAAGGGCATGAACAACGAGAGTTTCTTCTTCTTGTTGGACTGTTTCACCTCCCTGGCCCTGCCTTCCAGAAAACCACAGATTTCGGGGCCAATCTCCAGAAAATCGAACTCCAAGGATCGCACGTGCCTGATGTCCGACCAACGGTTCCTGCTGAAGATCTGAAACAGGAATACCCCTGCTGCAAATCGATCGACAATGTGGAGCTCAGCGTTCCAAACACACTCTTCCAGAAACCTAACTTCAAGCACTGTTAGGTCCCGGGCTTGATGTGTGGGCTCGTGCTCGCCTGCCACTCGGTCGGCCAAGCCTTGGACCCTGGGGGAGATGGAATTCTCCACATTTGGAATGGAAAGCACAAATTTCACAAACTTCAACGCTTGTACCACGCTCTGAGGTGCCAGCTTGCCCTTCTTCCTGTGGGATATCTCTCTGCAGAACTTGTACACCGCTTCCTCTGATGGGAGAAGGGGTTCCTCCACAGAGGTCCCTTGCACATCGGCCTGTTTTTGAAGCCAACGAAACAATCTCAACAAGGTTGATGCACGCTTCTGGATTGTGTGTGGTGATTTCGATCCAAACATGTCACGAAGGGACAACATCTTCTCCTCTTCGTCCAATTCCTGTAATGTTTTGGCAAAAGTGGTGGACGGGGAGGCCTCGAACAGCTGTTTCCACATCTGCATGTTTTTCAACCACATGCCTGCAACAGCCTCCTCAAAAGGCTCATCTTTCTTTTTGCACTTGATCACTTTGCTGAAAACATTGGCTCCCGGTGAGGAGCTGAAGACACCTGTGATTGGCGTCTTGTCTTTGTCTTGCAAAACGCTGGGACCTGGTGTAGACGATAGTTCGGCTTCATCCACATTGACAAGAACCTTGGGCTCTGGCCAGTCCAGTGACACCACTGGTCTAGGTGCGAAGATGTCCCTGAAAATTCCTTGTTCCCAGGGGAGTTGCACATTCGGTGGTCCTGCGGAAATCAGGACCTGAGCAACACGATGCTGGTTAACTTCTTGGCCTTCCGACTCGCTGTCAGAAGGCACCTCCGGTGCTCTTAGGTGACCAGGCATCTGGGGCTTGAACCAAAACTGACCCAAAACTCCCGATACCCGCATGAAAGGAAACATGTGAGGAAGACAAAATTTCTGTTGCAAACATGATGACAAAGCGAAAGTTCACTCGCCCTGTCAGAACGGGACACTCTTTTATGGCTCCCGACGAGCTTATATCGAGGCTCAGTGTTTCGGCTCTTGGCTCAGATTGGCCAGGCTACGGATACGGCCCTCAAAACTGCACAGGTGGGACTCAAAAGCAGGTGGTCCCCTGACCGCGCGCTGCCTGCATCTCGGCAAGCAGCATTCAGTGCCGGCATGCCCCCCTCCACCTGGGGCGTATTCTCCTGCAGGAGCCCTTCCATCGAGAAGATGACGTCCCTCCCTTTGGCTCTTGCAGCCACCTTGGAGATTGAGGCTTTGATACCTTCAAAGCCGGAGTCGTTGCAGACCCCGCGGCCGCTGAATCCGTACGACGGGAAGTCGCCGTCCGTGAAGTCTCCCGGGGTTATCTCCCCATACTCGCCCACACCCATGGCTGCTGTCCACGGCAAGCCGTGGGACATTGTCATCGTATAGCGGTGGTTTGCGGGCTCCAGGAAGGATGGCCCTGTCAACTTTGTGCGAAAGCACAATACTTTCTGCCCTGGCACTGCGAACATGATCGCATCGAAGTCCCCTTCAATGTCCAGCGGCCTGGAGTTCTGCTTGAACCACGCGAACAAGCATGCACAGCGCTCGACAATCGGCTGCGGCACCTCGGTGGGGTTCTTATACTTTGCCATGTACAGCATCAACCGGTCGCGATACTCGTCCACCAAGGTCCCGTCAATCAGGCCTCGGGCGTCCTTCCAGGACATGTTCCACCAGCTTCGTAAGATGCCCTCACGCATCAGTTCTCGGGCGCACTTGGGTCGCGAGGGGTCTGCGAGGGCCTTAGCGATCGCTCCTTGCCAGAGCTGACTGTGGAACCCTTCTTCTTCGCGCTCAGCCTTGCGATTGGCCGCCGCTTGAACTTCCTCCTCCGTCGCCTCCGCAACGTTGAATGCAGAGTCGGGCCTCTCAGGCGGCCCTTGCTGCCGGGCTCCAAAAATCCCAGCCACTGGGTCGAGGAGAATCTCCGGCTCCTCCTCCTTGGGGGCAGCCCCTCGCCCATACTGCTCCTTAGCCGGCTTTTGCTCAGGCTTGGGCCATTTGTTCCAGCCTTTGGGCTTGTCCCACTTCTCGCGCCGATTCCCTCCAGAGCCCTGCCACGAGCTGCTGGAGCCGTAGTTCTTAGAATGCCCCCAACCTTTGCCCCATGAAGACTGCTGGCTCTTCCACGGGGTGGACTGTTCTTGCCACCGGGAGGAGTCCTTCCAAGAAGAAGCTGCCTCAGCTCCCTTCTGAGCAGGAAGGGACGCCTGGGTCTGTTGCCCAGACGCCACGCCGAAGACCGCAGTCGGCACTTGGCACCAATGAAATCCTGGCTGCGGAGCCGGCATGCTAGGGGTCCCAACAATTGGGGTCCTCGGCTGGGTCTCTGGAGACCTCTCTCGACGCCCCCTTGGGCTGCGCGACCTAGACGCCCTTCGGCGCCTGTCTCTGCGTCTTGAGCGACGGCTGTCGCTGCTGCTTCTGTTCCTCCTGCGGCCCCTGGAGGCAGAGCCTTGTGACTCACCGCCCGGAAAGAAGGGCCACGGAAACATCTGGGCTTACGCCTCTTTTCTTTGCCCCCTGGCTTTTGTTTCCTCTCAGAGCCTTCGCTACCCTTTTTGTCTCTCTCTTTTTTTTTTTTGAACCGACAGAGATTCAGGTTTGGAAGAATAAACTCAGATGTCAGCACGACTTTCCCTTGAAATGTGCAATTAAGTGCTGAGTCGATCGCAGCTTGCAATCTTTCTGTTTTCAAGCTCTCGAGAGAACCTCTCGTCTCTACTAGACGACTGATCGGTGCCCTTGCACCTCTTGCCGGCCCTTGCCGGATTTGGCTATCGTCACGGCCTGAAAGAATGGGCTGCCCTTGCAGCGATGTATGAAGCACACTCATTGCGTGCCTTGAATATTGGCCCTTGCCATCTTCAGCTGCCCTTGCAGCAAAACTATTTGAGTTGCCCTTGCAACAGATCTCATCGAGCTGACCCTTCAGCCGATCTTTGACCACGACTGCCTTAGCAGCTTGATCTCTCTTGAGCTGCCCTTGCAGCATTCTTGGAACTGCCCATGCATTATAATTCTCCCCGAAGACTTCTCACTTCGAAGGACACCACCTGAAGTGCGGCAGTGTTCATTTGACGATGTGGTTCTATCTGCAAAGGTCCAACACAAACTCACATGCTTCAAAAACACAAACCACGCAGCGGACTCCAGAGACAGTGCAAATGCAAGCACTGATTGCTCATCCCTTCCGTGCCTTAGCGTCTAGGACCTGTTGTCAGGGCAGGACGGACACGCTGCTGAACCTTTTGCTTGGCCATCTGCTAACGAGGAGGGCACTCCAGGTCCCCACATCAAGATGCCTGAACGGGGCGTGAACTGCGCAAGCTGATTCCTAATTCTGCTGCAGGAGAAACGTATGGACAAGGTTGCTTCTACACCCAGGCCAAAGCTTCTAAACTTGGTTCCGTGCAAGATAAAATATTTTGACCTGACATGTACAACTCTCGCAGTCGACGAGAACAGCTACCAGCTGCAGCAAGTTCTGAAACCTAAGACACTAGCTCGTCTCCAGGAATCTACCTGCGCTCCAGCAAACTTCCAGCGACAGCAATGCACAGCAACCAACGCACTCACAAAGTCTCCAAGAAAGACCTGGAGAAAAGAAACCTTAAATTGCGTCCTGGCTCAGACTACAACAACGCACCATGCTCCAAGAAAGCTCAAGAACAAGAAGGCAACTCGGCTTTCAGAACCAAGCTTGAAATGTAAGCTCCAAGCGCCATCGACCTTCTGTGAGGCTCCCGCTCCCCCCACCAGGCCGCAGGACGCTAATCCCCCAGCACACTTGGCTGAAGGCAGAAAAATTTTCCCGGACCCTCTCCACGAGGGTTGTGGCTGAGAGGGCTGTGGCCTCTCTTCGTCTGAGCCGAAAAACTTTCTCATTCGTAGAATTCGAAAATTTTTCTCCGGAAAATAAAGGTTTGTACTTACAGCACGATTACCTGAAGTGGAGCAAGAAACTGCATGCCGTGAGCTTCTGAGGGGTAAATTGAGTATACACGGGCAGGCTGATAGTTTGGCGGAGGCAGAGGCGCTTCCAACGGCAGGTAAGCCCGATGTACATTAAGCCTAGTGGGGGCTGGCAAAGGCGTTGCGCTAGGAACCAAAGCAACCGAGGGCCTAGTCCTAGGACAGAGAGTCCGATTAGGTGCCGGCAAAGGATGTGACTTTGATGTCGGGCGTTCCAGGGTCGTCCCAGGATGCAAAGAAGCAACGACCGACCAAGAACCTGAAGCAGCTGAAGATTTGGGAGTTGCAGACATGACAAAAGATTGCGAACACACAGGTAGTGGAGGTGACAGGAAGTGTTCGCTTGGCACATTCTCCCCCAAAGTTTCATCAAAATTTGAAACAGCATCAATCAAATCACTAGCCGCGGCACGCCCTGGACCCAGAAGATTATTCCTATAACGCTTGACCCTGACTGGCTGCTCTGCGTGATGCCCCGAGTGAGGTTCAATGAGGTCAACTGCCATGATTGCAGCATGCGGTGTCAGGTCAGTGGACATCTCAAAGACCAAAGGAAATTAAGGCGGACTTCGGGGAGTGGTGCGGAGTGCCCAAAGATGATCTGCACGATCAACTGGAACGGAATGCAGCCCGTAAAGAGCTCGGGAACCCAGGTGGATGTCAAAGCAAGACTGCTGCCGTGAAACTTTATCCGAAAAATCCCAAACCGAAGTCCAAAGTAATTTACGCAAGGCCAAGTCCTCGAGATCACTGATGTGATACCCGAGAGGAAGCCAGCCGAAGCCAGACGACATCCGCGTTCCCCAAAGGAACGCTTGCACGCCGCCTAATGCGGAAAGGAACTACCTAGAATTGCAATGTAAAGATAAGCTGCGTCGAATGTCTTGCTCAAATGTCTTGCTCTTGCTCTACAAGGCAATGTTCAAGCTTCAAAAGTAAAGCTAGCCAGCATTGTACTGATTTGGTGTGTGGCTTGAGCCAAAATGACAAAGTACGGTGATCTTTCTCAAACAGCAAACAGCTATGAGTAAACACATGACCCCTGCGCGTTGAACCCCGGCGTGGGCGCGGAAGCCACGGTCTTCCGGTCTGCAGGAAGCTTACTCATGTTTCCCGGCCAATGGCGCCAGCCTTTGGCACCGGGCTCCACAGTCTGGTGCGAGGTATCGTAAAGAGGCACAGGGTCTCCCGCTGATCCCACTGGTACCTCGAACAAGGGGTAGACTTGCTCATCAGGAGCGGCAGCTGCTTTGGCCTTCGCAGCTTTCGCTTTGGCCTTCTTGCTCTTATCCTCGGATGGTTCCCGCTGCTGCTGCTGATGTGCAGCATCTCCTTTGACATGAGAGAACCTACACTTGTCACCATAGGTGCAGCGCCCATTGGCGAACAACCGGCAAGGCTGCTTGGCCTTGTCGTCCTTGTCACCCTTTCCACCCGAGCCTTTGCCCTTCCCTTTGCCTTTACCATTCTTGTCTCCGCTGCCACCACCAGAGGAATACTGGTCTGCAGCTGGCATAAGGACACCATGTGACCTGGGTGGCCACAATGCTTGCATTTGGCATCACCCACACCACTCGGCAAACTCACCTGCGCCTTCGAGGTATCAGCCTCGGTGCCATCACCACCACCTTTCTTCTTCCGCGGGCGCTTGTCCTGCCTTTAGGACTCATTTCTCGCGCCTCGGCAGTGTTGCGGCTCGCTTCCAAGGCTTTATTCACATCCTGGCGCAGAGTGATCTCACGCGCCACGAGTGCAGCCTCGGACCAACTTTCCAGCCCTCGAAATTCCTGTTGTACGCCAGGGGCTGGCTTCCACGGCCAAAATCGCCGGTCACGCGAGACTTCATCTCGGAGGTACGACCCGATCTTTTGCAGTTATTGTTCGAGGACCGTGCTTGAGCCCAAATGAACAGAATGTATAAATATGCAAATTCTCAAAAACTCAATCTGACTTCAAGATTCCGCTAGAGCAGCATGTACGCTCTCACACCTCTCTTTTTCAAACGCTGGGGAATCAATCTCCAGAGATCTCCTTCCGAGAGGGCTGCACCCCACATCGGTGTTCCAATGCTGGTCAAGCCCGAAAACATTCGAGCGGATTACTCGCCCTCTAGAAGAGAGCGTTGGCTAACCCGCTACCCCTCACAGGTCCGGCCTGAGTATAGCGGCCTGAATCAGGGCACAGAACAGCTGTTCAGAACAGATCACGAGCTCTTCGGTTGATGCTGAGAGCTTGACGAGGCAGCTTCGTGTGGCTGCTCGGGTGTGGGTTCTGGGTTCACAAACTGCCACTGCGAACGACGGGCTGTCGCTGCCTCTCTCTCTGTTGCAATTCGCGATCTGCCATGAGATCGTCCAATACCTCAGCCACCTTGACCAGGGAATCCATATTCAAGGACTGAAGCCACACGCGAAAGTCTTCCAGCTGAGCTCGTGTCACAGAGCGCTCCATGGGGAGTGCTGAAAGGGCAATGGTTGAGACACTTGAAATCCAAGCCTGTATGCATTCACGAAAGCGTGTAACTGCAAGCACTCACGTAAGGCTCCAAGAACAAGCATCCACAGACACAGGTGCATTGTGGTTATTCCTGGCGTGGACAATCACAGCACTCAATACAAGTAGCAAAGACTCCACCAAGTGCGAGACCGCGTAGTTTGTTTCGCGTTGCACGCCCACCTCGCAGTGGCTTTCCTTGAGTCTCTGGCAATAGAAAATGCTTCAACTGTCACACAGCATGAACATTGTACATGTGTCTCTGAGTAGGGTGGGAGGGCGGGTCAAAATTTTCTTTCTCCTTCAATCGGCTTTTCGAGCCGGTCACCTTGCGACGATGAAAGATTCCTGCAATATCAAGCATGCAGTTCGGTTCAAGCACGACAGGTTCACAAAGAAAACACCGAAAAGCACAAGCCACTAAAATTGCACCGCAATTTTTCCTCTCACAATAAAGCCCTATCTTCTGCGAGCACTCGAAGAACGCAGCTTATTGTTCGAGGACCGTGCTTGAGCCCAAATGAACAGAATGTATAAATATTCAAATTCTCAAAAACTCAATCTGACTTCAAGATTCCGCTAGCGCTAGCCGCTAGAGCAGCATGTACGCTCTCATACCTCTCTTTTTCAAACGCTGGGGAATCAATCTCCAGAGATCTCCTTCCGAGAGGGCTGCACCCCACATCGGTGTTCCAACGCTGGTCAAGCCCGAAAACATTCGAGCGGAATACTCGCCCTCTAGAAGAGAGCGTTGGCTAACCCGCTACCCCTCTTTTTCGTTCGCCAACGATCCTTCGAGCTTGAAGAAGAAATGGTCAGTCAC